AAAAGGAATACTCAATCTATAACCAAAACTCAAGATGACCCAAACCGAACAATAACTAAATAATTGAGTCAAATCTGATTAGACTCAAAATCGATCATAAATAATGAAGTATGATTTTTGTAAAAAAAAGATGTATGACAGCAATAATTTTGGCTTTGGCGGGAAAACTTCTTTCTCTATTTTTCACCAATGAAATATTTTATTTTTCTTTCACACAAGCACACTTAAAATAAATAAAGTGAGAAGTAGGTTTAAAAATAAAAGTTAAGACGATTTTTATGCAAGAGGAGGATAAAGGAGCATACTCGATTCAATTTTAATGTTAATCCAACCCCAAATTATTTGAACCAATGTTTTACTTTTTTTAATTCACTCTTTTTTTGAAATGATATGTGATAAAGTGAATTGTATTTTCCTTCTTTTCAGTAAAAGAGTCATTTTTTTGACATGTTTTAGCTTTGGTTAAAGAACGGACTAAATCACAATGGCACATCAAACATCCTTTGTTCCTTACTTATTATGAACTTTTGGGAAATAAATGTGTCAATACATCATCAAAGCAAGGGTTTAATGGAAACTACCTCTCTGTTATTTACAGGGGTAAGGTTGCATACATCTTGACTCTCAGGCCCCCAACGGAGTTGGGATTATCCTGGATTTGTTGGTTTGCAAATGCTGGTTCTCAGTATTTTTTCCTTGCTAGCCAAGGTTTTTAGCAAACTCCCTTGGTGATCACCTTAGGATTTATTAGTTGTTGGTATTAGCAAGGAGTGTTTTTAGTGAGCCCATAGCCTCAGCCAGACATGTAATTTATGTTGAATTATTAGTTGACCACAACAACGTGGTGTTTGATTATAACACATGGGTTCTTACTTCTTAGACAATGATGCAAGTAGTTTTGACATGCTTTTTTTTGTTAACAGCATATGCAAGATGAAGACTGGGGCAGGCCACACAAGAAATTCTTGTGAGTGTCGGATCTTTGTGTAATGCTTTTTGGGAGAACCAGAAGCGTGTTTTCATTGCATTCCGCCAGGGTGTGAAATTTCTTGTCTATTTACTTTTAATAATGGCGACATCGTTCCAAGACCTGCATTTGTGTGACCATCTAATAAGATTATGTTCTATAATAACAACTTCTCTGTATTAATACTGCTTGGTATGGTTCTATGGCAATAGCTTTAGGACTTGTTAATTGAGCGAAAGGAATATGGATTTTGATATCTCCGATATCAAAATCTCTTTTGTGGTGTTTGGTGTCAAGTCTGAACAAGGTTAGAGTTTAATATCTCTTGATATCACACCTCTTTTGCAGTCTTTTTTGACGTCTAAACAAGGGTGAGGTTTGGTATCTTCTTGTATTACAACTCTCTCAAACGAAGTTGTTTTGATATCTTGAATTTCGGAGATATCAATTTATGGTGTTTTGATATATTGCCCCCTATCGTTGCATTGGAAATTTATATCGGTGTGTTCTAAAATCTTACTCCAAATGAAGAAAAATTTAAGGAAAATTTTGTAATCCAAATGAAGAAGTTAGATGAATTGAATGCACATAGCGTCGTACACTATATAACTAGCTTGTTAAAACATGTGAACATGGACTGATGTAATTCATCTTTTGACTTACAATGTTTCGTTCAATTTATTTTTTTTTATTTATTCTTATTATAATCAGATCAGAACAGATCAAAAATAGGAATCATTATAATTGCAATCAGATCAGACTAGACCTGGCAATCGGGTCAATCGGTTCGGGTCCGGGTCGGGTCTTTTCGGTTCGGGTCTCTTTCGGATATATGTTATAATCGGTTCGGGTCGGGTCAGTTCGGTTCTGGGTTTATTTCGGTTTGACTGGTTTTCGGTTTCGGTTCGGTTTCGGTTCGGGTTTATATCGGTTCGGGTCTGTATCGGTTCGGGTTTGTATCGGTTCGGGTTTGTATCGGTTCGGGTTTGTATCGGTTTGGGTTTGTATCAGTTCGGCTTTGTATTGATTTGAGTTTATATCGGTTTAAATTTATATTAGTTCAAATATAATGTAAACACATACTAATAAATGAATAATATTTGGATAACAATTTGGTTCTAAATTGTCACTAGAATGCTGTATTTTGTTTGTTGGATAGTGTATCCACGAAAATCAAGATTTGTGTTTTAAAAAAGCTCTTTAAGATGGTTCAATATTTTTTTACTCATTCATAATTTTTGGAGAAGAAATCTTTTATTTAGCTTATACTAGGTAATGTCAGTTAGCTGGTTTTATTNGTTTTTACCACATGATTGTGATACCTTTCTTCATTTTTATGCTCAAGTATTTTTTATAGTGTGTTAATTGGCATATTAAAAAAAGAAAATCAACTTTGGTAACATAATTCTTTACATAAAATATGTATTACAATGTAACTATAATTTTTATATACTTTCTATAAAAATACAAATATATTTTAACTTAGGTTATAAAATACGGAGTACAAAATAAAAGATTTGTACATGAAAGTAGTTACATGGTTTGCACTCATAATTTAAATATGTTTTTTTAGAAACATATCAACATATGTAAAAATATATAGGTAATTCTTTTTTTCCAAATTCATTTGATAAATGAAATATTAATGAATTTGATCAATTTCGGGTCTAATCGGTTCCGGGTCTAATCGGTTCCGGGTTTATCCGGGTTCGGGTTTAACTGGGTTCGGGTTTAATCGGGTTCGGGTTTAATCTGTTCGGGTTTAATCGGATTCGGGTCTGAATCGGATCTGAATACATTCGGTTCGGGTTCGGTTCGGTTCGGATCATTTCGGGTGTTCGGTTCTATTTCGGTTCTTCATTTTTCGGGTCAAATCGGGTTCGGTTCCGGGTTATTCGGTTCGGGTTATCGGGTCCGGGTCAGTTTTGCCAGGTCTAGATCAGACTGGATAAGATCAGACTAGATCTTTAAAAAATTAGATCAGATCAGGCAAACAGAACGCAGTTTTAAAAGATTTGTCATTTGGTACCTTGGGGGTAGGAGGATTTCCAAGAAAAGCATACATACGTTTCCAGAAAAAAATTTAAAAAACAATTAATGCAAAACTCTCCCAACAATGATAATTACAAAGTCGATTACATAGAAATTGAAGGAATATTACATGGGAGAGACTACTACAGTGTGTGTTATTAAGGGGTGTGTATTCACAGTTTCTCTATTATTTCTAAAGGGGACTCATGTCAAACAATAACGAGATTACATTCAAGGACAGAACAAACGAACAAACAAAACAAATCCTCATTCTTCTCCTTCTCTTTGCCTTTTTTTCCGTCTTGTCTACGTGTTGCTTGGGTCAACACAGAAATGAGAGAGAGAGAGAGAAGACTACCGGAGACGCTTGTTTGACTAAAAATCTCTGACATTTCTTGTCTTGTTCTTAGATCCAGGCAATGCCTTGTTTTTTCCTCAATTGTGAGAAAGTTTTATGATTTTCTTGAAGGGGTGGTTTGTTGGAAAACACTTCTTTCTCTTACTATATTTCCCATTTTGGCTTTGCCTCTTATTTTGATTTGCTTTAGGTTTGTAGTGGTTCTACCGAAAAAAAGGAGGGGAGATTAATGCTTAAGCAAAAGTGATTGGAGAGAGAGAAAGTGGACAAAGAATGAGTGGTGGAGAAAAAAGATCTATTGGTGAGGGCTAGCGCTAGAGTGAGAGAAAGATCTTGTTGGTGATTAGGACGACTTTGTTGAATTGGTGAACAAATTATCGCCGGTTCTAAGAGCATCCGCATTAGAAGGACTGCTACATGGAAGACTATCTCCTGGCTCTTATGTCCCTCTTCCATATCAGATTTTGTGGACCTAACTCAAAACTCACTACCCCCTAACCTCCTCCAGTCCTCCCTAAACCCCTCACCGCATCCCCAACCCTACCCCCATACTAGACCTCCCCTCTTACCCCTAGGGAGGGGGCGCAAGAGTTTGGGTAGGGGTCAATTTTGCGAACAGAGCATTGGAGAAACTCCAAATCAGCGAGTGTCATCCGTTGACACCAAATACCAGTGTCAACCGAACTTTGCCCATCTATATTCTAACTAACCAGCTAGTTATACTATACACGCTTGGAGTGTACAAATGCTATGCACATTTAGTTCGGCAAGTGACCAAACTTCTTCAATCAGATAAAAGAATTTCCTTAAACAAGATTTATGCAGAGCATATATTTTCATTACGTATGCACCGAAATCCACATGGTAGTAGAAACTTAGTTTGATACCAAATATATTTTGGATAAATTTCACCGGTGGTGCCTAAAATTTGAAGTTTTTTTTTCATTTTGATCTCTATACTTCAAATCGTATCGGAAAAATATCTCAAGTATCAAAATCTTTCACCAATTTTTTTAGCCAAGTTCCAAGTTAAAATGCAGCAACTTCCTCTTTCTTCGTTATTTTTTTTCCTTTCTTCTTTCTTTTGGTGAAAGATTTTGATATGTTGAGGTATTTTACGGATAGGATTTGAAATTTACTATAACTACTCCTTTCTGTCCACTTTGATTCTTCACATTTAACTATTTACAGTTTTCAATGCAACACTTTATTCATCAATACCTTTATTTATAGATATATCTATATAATAAAATATAATATTTCAAAGCTATATTTCAAAATGAACTTTATTGATATTAAATTCATACTACGTCCCAATTTAAATCAATTGCTTTGATTTACGATGTTTGACTAGAGTTGTTTTCAAAAGAATTTATTTGATCCTGTGAGTACAACTTAATTTGAGATAAAGTGGGTGTCACAATTCAATTTATTTTTTTTATAAATCGTAGTGAAAGTTTAAAGACGTTGACAGTAGAAGTCAAATTGGGTAAATTCCAAGTGACGGAGGGAGTAAAAAAACCTTCAAAATTCAGGTATTAGCAGTAAAACTTTGAAATATATTTTACATTAACAAACGTGTTCAGATGAAAATCGACATTTTAGCCAGAGTACTAAGTAAAATTCTAACTTCATATTGCTCAACAATGATGTCCAACACACACAAAAAGTAAGTCCAGAGAACTGAATACCAAACAATTTACAGAATGACTCATTTTACCATGTAGAAAGGGGGGGTATACCTTACAACACAAGGGCTCAATAGGCCGTGGGCTTACACAAGGGGCTTCAAAGCCATCCCATTTATACTCCTTTGTAAGGTGAAAGTGTCAAACTTCATGCATTTTGGTAGGATTAAACTCTGGGGGCTTTACAAACTCCTGGTCAATGAATCGTTTTTATAGAGTAATACAATATGAATGGCTGCATAGTAGTCCCTAAGCCTAGCTTCAACAAACGTTGGACTGCAAATAAAATCGAAAGATTTTATCAGGCATCGTAAATCTACTGAAAGCCAAAGTGTGGAAGTGCCCATGGGCATATATATAAAAAGAGGTTTTCTGAACGAAGAAGAAAAAGAACGTGTAATTCTTCTAAATGTCGGCAATGGACGGATCCGTAGACTGTTTCTGCCTTTTAATAGTTGATTCGCCACAAGATTCAATATCACAGGCATTGGGATTAAGAGAGACCCCTGGCTCACAGAGTTTGACTTCTGAACCTTTATTTGGAAAATTCCATGCTACCGGATTTGCTGCAAGTGAAAGAACTTGTGTGAGCTAATAGAGCATCAAATACTCAAATACCACAGAAAATATCCGTCAACTCGCACATAATCTTTATATCAAACCAAATTTACACTGTGTTTGGTTCAAGGGATTTATAAAGGAAAAGAAAAGAAAATAGAAAGAAAAAGCAATTTTAGCGTTTGGTTAGAAAGGAAAGGGAAATTGGGAGAAAGAAAATGCGAGGAAAATGTAAAGTGAAAATGACAAAGTGATTTTTCCTTCCATTTTGGAAGGAAAGGGAGATAAAACAACGCCTCCCCCCCCAATGCATGCTGCCCCCCTCTCAACCATGTCTTCTTATGTTTTCTCTATAACAATTAACAACCAAACAAATGAGTTATTGAAAACTAATTTCCTTATCAATTTCCCTACTAACCAAATGAAAATAGATTTGTTAGTTTCTATGACTTTCTTTTCCTTCATAATTCCTTGAACCAAACATACTGTTAATTGTTATATAACTGAATTCAACAAATATTTAGTAATGTAATGATGCATAGAAGTGAGTAATGAAAGAAAGTAGAGCAATCAATGCACACGGTAAAGTCTCAGCTTAGGAGTCGGATTGCACAATTCAAACATCGAAATCAGATTTGGATATTAAACCAAGGTCATTACGGTGACTACATTGTTGGAACTATTCGAACACTGATATCAACTTCACATATTAAACCACATAGGTTATCAGTGGCGAATCTAGAAAAGTAGTATATTTTTTTTGGGGGGGGGGGGGGTCACGCCTTTACATTTATTATTAAATTATTTAAATAATTTTTTTTCTATAAAACCAAAAGAAATAAATTACATCCATGGGATGCATTGCACCCCCCCTCCCTGTCCAAATGTTTTTAATCCGCCCTCGGAGATGATTTGTTGGATACATTTTGCATTACAGCCCAAACCCATAACGGGTGAACTTATGCTGGAGAAAACCATGCAAATTCATAATCTTTTTACCTAATATGGAGAATATCAAGAGAATGTTATCAGTCTCAGGAAAGTAACAATCAGTATGTCGTGAACTTCTCATACCTTCTGAAAGGTCACGATATGCAGGCAATAGTGGAGCAAAGCCATCATGTGAAGGTGTAGACATTGCAGGAGGACGTTTTTTCAGTGCAGTGTTCTTCTGCAAAGGCTTTGGGGTCTGGAATGAAAACCGGGATAAACTTACACCATCATGTACACACTCAGGGTGTTCCTCCAAGTACCTGCAGAAAAAGAGCAATGAGATTCTAGAACAACATAACAAATACTCCGCTGGTCCCGTAAAGTATGCCAAACAATTTAAATATGTTAAATTCAGTTAAATAAAGAAATAAATTTGAAAAATATAACTCTCTTTGATGGTTTCAAAGAGTTGTATCTTATCAAAACTAACAAGTTACACTTCTAAAAAACAAGGCTCTTTTTATGGGATGGAGGGAATAAGGGATAAATTGGCATGTAGTCGCGCTATACACAATATTAGCATGTGCCCGTGAATCACGGGGAAAAAAAGGAAAGTTGAATAAAGATATCTCCTTGCAATTTCGAGGAATACCTCTCAATTTCAACCATGGATCGGAATCTCTTGCCCGATGGCGAAACATAATACCTGCAGAAAAAGGAACCAGTGAAGAAATGATAAATTTATATAACGTCTTAAAGCAATGAAGGAGTAGAACTCATGGGGGGGTCATTGAAGCATACACATCCGCAAATCTAGTCCCTCCATCACCTCTGATTCTCAAAAGCCGCTGCCAGCCACGAGGGGGGACAGCAATATTGGGTTTATCAATAGCCCACAGGCTACTTCCATCTTGAGTAATATCTGGTGGATCATCACAAGATATCTCAGGCTTCCATTCCCGAGCCATTTCACATAAGAAGGGAACTTCTAATATATGTTCCCTTATCTCCTCGTATTTTTCCTTCTTTGGGATAAGCCTCCATTTGAAACAATTGGCACACTGAACAGCAAAAGCCCCAACAGATCGGTACACTTTTGACGCACCAGGTAATTGGGGAGATTGCGAAGAATCGGGAATTAGGGCAATTTCGGCAGCACCATTGACGGAAGGATCATAAATCACCAACTGGTTTTTACCATCTTCCTTATTCCCATTCTGCTCATCATCAGTAGATGCCCTATCATCTTGTTCCCCTCCAGAAGTAGGCCATGACGGTTTCTGCGGAGAGTTCTCAACGGATTCATGAGATCTAAAAGCTCCAAACTCATTTGGCCCTGTACTCATCGTATCCAAGGGATTGTTAGAAACTAGCTGCAGGTATCAATTTCTTTAACACACGAAATACTTGGAAAAAATCGTATCCATGGGATTGTTAGAAATTAGCTGTAGGTATCAATTTCTTTTCTTTATCACAGGAACNCTCATCATCAGTAGATGCCCTATCATCTTGTTCCCCTCCAGAAGTAGGCCATGACGGTTTCTGCGGAGAGTTCTCAACGGATTCATGAGATCTAAAAGCTCCAAACTCATTTGGCCCTGTACTCATCGTATCCAAGGGATTGTTAGAAACTAGCTGCAGGTATCAATTTCTTTAACACACGAAATACTTGGAAAAAATCGTATCCATGGGATTGTTAGAAATTAGCTGTAGGTATCAATTTCTTTTCTTTATCACAGGAACAACTTGGAAAAATGGCCTTTCTTTATGAGATGGACGCCGGCAAACTTGTAATTAAAATTATTTTAGAATGAAAATTACAATGTTCAAAATGAATATATTAAGTTGTTTTAAAATAAATACTACGTCTTTTTATAAGGAATATTATGTTCAGTAGGCTTGGAACGACCACTACGGTTGAAAATGTATATTCTATGATGGGATAATATTTCTTGGGCCTAATTAAAGATATTGGGCCGGTCCATGCAAGGAGCCCGCTAGGGAACCCTAATCCTAAGCTCCTACCTTGATGTTATATAAGAGACACATAACCAAGAAGAAATGGGGAGCCACCCTCTACATTCCACACATATTGTATTTTCTCCGTTCATCATCTTCTTCTCGATGGAGCTTCGAGCTCCATCCATGGCTATCACGCCATATACTGTACAAATATGCCCCGATATATAATAAAACATCCCTGTTGGCATGGTACCGCCAAAAAAGGCCCGTGGTTTTCACCGATTTAGTTTCCACGTTAAAAGTCTATTGTCTATATTCTTGTTCATAAATTTCCTATATTTTATACACATATCGAATAGACCAAAAAATACACACCCGGGGGGTTTTGGTCTATCGTTCTATTTACTAAAAAGAACAATTTTAATGGTAAAGAGTCAAAACTAGACAAATACTTTCAAACGTGGGTAGTATTAATTATACGTGTTGAAATCAGAACATATGAAACCAAATTAGATTAGATCAGATTAAAAGCAAATTAAAATTCAAATTTAACTAAAACCAAATCAATTCAGATCGGACATGAATACAAAAGGATCAGATCAACTTAATTAGATTAGACGAAGAGAATAAACTCTTAGTTTATCACCAAATCTCATAAAGATGAGATCAGTTGGACCAGATGAAATCTTTGGAAAAACCAATATTTATAGGATGCTACCCACTTTATTACAAGGGAGAGGTTCGGTTGACATTAGTCTCACATGTCATCCTGACATGGGCCTTGAATATAGCATCTATAGTGCTCCGTTTGAAAAATTGATGATTCCTAACCCCTACCTTTTCCCTGGGTAAATCCCATATCTTGGCCTGACCTGAACCAACTCTCTCACCTCCTCGAATTGCACCCCACAAAATTTATCGACTCAAATTTTGACTCTAAAGTCAAATAAAATTTATGGGGTGCACTTGGAGGGAGTAGGGGTCACTTCGGGTTTGGCCGAAGTAGGAAGGTTTATCGGAGGTTATGTGGTAAGAACCATCAAATTTTCAAACGGAACACCGTAGGTGTCCCGAGTCATTGTATCACATTGAAATCCAATATCACTTGAACCGGGGTGTTATTTTACCATTGGTTCAAAGACTTCAAACTAGCTGGTTTTTATGAAAAATTAGAGATTTGTTTTGGACTAGGTGATTCTCACAGGATCGATGTAAGTTTGGTATGACCCTTTTTAATATCCTAATTTTTAAAAAATATATAATCTTACTTTCAATTATCTAATTTCTTCAATTTCTATACATATACTTCCTCCGTCCACCTAAGATGTTCTCATTTTGACCTTTTGTAGTTTTTAATGAGAGTTAAAAAAAGGTAAAAAATTTAACAAAATATTCTTAAAGAAAATTGGTGGAAGATATTAAATGTGGTGTGTGAAGTGTAATAAATAAAATAAGTAAAGATAGTCATGCTATTTTAAATATTAAAAGGGCTAATAAGAAGATCTATGAAGATAAATAAAAAAGAAAAATAGGAAGATTTATGGGGAACGAAGGAAATATTTTTTAGAGGTTCAATTTCTATATTTTGTTAACTAGTATTTTGATGAATCAGATCTTTTTTCAATGTAATATATTTTCAAAAATCAGGTAAATATATTTCAAACACCACTTTTAATCAATGGACAACAACGACAAACTAGAAAAGACAATATTTGAAGAATTAAAAGTGCACTTGAAAAAATCTTTTTTAATTTCAATTTTTTGAAGGACATCAAGATACATAATATTTGTGATATAGTTGTAAGGGTTTTCATTGTCATCTAGAACCAATATTTTTAATCATGACTTGGTTTTTCACTCATGACCTCGTAATATAAAGCTGATCATGAGTAAATACCGAATTGGTTAAAAATAATACAACAAAAGACAATGTTTTACCTTGACTTTTGTTAATAGTCATAGCAAACATAAAACTATTGAGAATTGTCTTTTCTAGAATTTCAGGTGTATGTAACCTTTTTCCGACTCGATTTCCCAAAACATCAATTGCACTGATAATGTTCTTTCGCAACTCTTCAACGATTTATCTTCTACCATTACACAATCCAAATATTTGTTCAATTTTCTTGAATAATATAATCGGTACCCCCTTTTTAAAAACTATTTTGTGGTTTGGGATCACCGAGCATTTGATTTCATTAAAAAACTCAACTTTTATTCAATTGTCGTTAACAGCTATAACTGAATCTGTTTGGCATGAAGAATAAAAAATTAACTACTCCTTTTCACCTCCTAGAATATTGGATAGGACAAATTCATTTACCATTCAACAAACTCGAGAGCGAGTGTTAATAATGCACAATCCCAAAAAGAGAACAATATTTCATGTTCTCTAATAGGTTTGGATAAGTGAAGTCTATTATACCTCTGACTCTCTTAGGGGATAACTTTTGTCAAGAATCAAGATTTTCAGGCGGGATTTCAACATCATCAGTTCCATCAATCACTTGTCCAAATTTTCCATCTACGACTTTGATTATCTAATCAGAAAAAGCTTGTGTCTCCCTATCTGTAACGCCCCAAAATTTTCCATCTACGACTTTAATGAATAAATAATAATTTAATCAAAATGTTTGTTGGGCTTTGGGCCGATATGAAATATGTTTTATCCAATATCAAAATCTGGATAAGTCTCATAGAGATAAATCTAATATGTTGATTATTTGTGTGGTCTTGATTGGGAATCTAAGTACAGACCCAAATCAAGAATAAATGAAGAAATTATTTATAATATGAACTTTAAAATGATTTATTAAAATAAATCATGAGAACAAATCACATGAATTAACCTTCTTGAATAAAGGTCAAATAGACCAATTTTGACTCTGTCAAAGTCAAACACCCAAAAATATGATATCAGAAAAAGTATGACAAATAATTGAGAAAGGTATATCGTTGAATAGAATTTGACTGTCTGATCGCAACGGTGCAAACGGATTGCAATTTGGATAAAGTTGGACAAAAAAGTGTACCCCGATTGGGACCAAAATTAGTCCCAATCAGGGACGACGCCTCCTACTCCACTCAGCCGATAGAAGATCCATTCCTACGCAAATCCTACGCAGCAATATTGTCACCTTCCCAATTCTCTTCCTATATAAGCCACCATCAACCTTCTCATTCTTAACCAAAAACTTATAAGTTTAGTACTAAAGTGTTCCTGAGAGTGAGTATAACATGCTGCAGTAGTTGGTGGCCGCCGAAGTCGCCGGAGTTGGGAGTAAAAGCCGCCAGAAGTTTCGCCAGAAAATTCTCAAAACCTTCGATAAGCTTCGAGGTAAGCCCGTAGATATATCTAGTGACTAGAATGTTCGTGTAGATCTTTTCTACGTTCATACACGTTCGTTTGATTGAATTTTGTGTTTGACATATTTGAAGAACCATGAATCATAAACCTTGAAATTGTGGTTAAAACTATGATGTGATGACTCTAAACTGATCTGTGAACATTGGAGAACATTCCTATATAATTTAATTGAAGTTTGGTGATTAAAAATGATAATACTCGAAACTGACCAGAAGATGATGAACAGTGTCCGAAAATCTATTATTTCCTTATTAAAAATCGATTAGAACTTTGTTCAGATGAGGTGTTCGAAGTCAGTACATGTTAATCGATTATTTATATTGTAAAAATCGATTTTTATGAATCAATGGATTATTTAAATTGCAAAAATCGATGTTTATGAATTAATGGATTATTTATATTGCAAAAATCGATTTTTATGAATTAATGGATTATTTAAATTGAAAAAATCGATTTTTATGAATTAATGGATTATTTATATTGCAAAAAATCGATTTTTATGAATTAATGGATTATTTATATTGCAAAAATCGATTTTTATGAATTAATGGATTATTTATATTGAAAAAATCGATTTTTATGAATTAATGGATTATTTATATTGTTAAAATCGATTTTTATGAATTAATTGATTATTTAAAATATATAAATCGATTTTTATAAATTAATTGATCATTTTAAATTATTTTCCTGATGCGAAAATATTCCTGAAAATCTCCAAAATCCTATTTTTGATACCAATTGATTATGAATAATATAAATATGAGCTTGTACAATAAAAATGATGTTTTTGACATATAAAACATTATGTGATGCATGACGGTAAGTTCGGGTGTTAACATTCGAAACTATGCCGCTATTTGTTAATAAATGTTATTATGACTATTATGATCAAACCTTTATAATATCCTGAATAAATGGTTATTATAATGGATAATGGAATATCATTGATAATAAATATTGATTATGATGATCAAATGGACGACCCGAGTAATTATGACTACATAACGATCATGATTTTATTATGACAAATAAAAATGTATGGAATTGAAGGAAAGAACCGTAAAGATGAAACTATGTATAGATATGTTTGTTTGACTATCTTGAATTAAATTATGATTATGAATTATTGAACCATAATTCAAAATAAATAAATTGATCAACAAGAAAATGATGTGTATTGTTAAGTATATCTAGAAGACTTTAAGATATACCTATTAGCTAATTGCTGTTAAGACTATCTAGAAGACCTCTAGAATAGATCTTAGAATGAACTTATGAAAACATGAATAGTTTATGGATTAGATAAAAATGCATAAACGAGATTCGTAGTCCAAACTAGAGGATCACTCGTTTGGGAATGCCCGATCCAATGTTGAACATTCGCTATATTGTTGTTGCCTTAATTGACTACAGTTAAGTGTCTGAATCATTTGCCTTAAACTAATGATAGTTTAAGTGTCTGATTGCCTTAACTGACTACAATTAAGTGTCCGAAATCAATTGCCTTAAACTAATGAT